ACTAGAGAAAGCCAGACCTTAGAAGGATAAACAGGAAACAAACATATATGAGGTGAAATCTTGTAGAACCTACTGGGTGCCAAAACCCCTAAGGTTGGTTAGGCCTTCCAGAGGATCCCTTGAAAGTAATGACATTTATAAGAGGTGAGTTTCCCAATCAGGTGAATCTGCTTTTGAATAGGTTCCACCAGCTCATGAACATTTTCATACCTATTACTGTTCCTCACAATCCTCTTATAAAAGCAGATTGGTTATCCCACTTTACTCTCAAGAGTTCTCTATGGGAATCCCGGTTCTCTGCAACCCCTCCCACATTTCCCCATCCTCTCTGGCCCCAGACCACACAGGCTATACAGTCAATACTTTGCCCACTTCATTTTAGGTATTCTTACACAATCTTAGCCCTCCCTGACCAGCTGAAACAGTTTTAAATACTTTGGGTGATAATGTATCAACGCAGGTTAATTGACTGTAACAAATGTACCACTATGGTGGTGAGGAGTCAACAGGAGGTTGGGCACACGACAACTGGACATGCAGGTTGGGCGACACTGGGCATATGGGAACCTTCTCTACTTTCCAGTTTTACTGTGAAATGAAAACTGCTTTAAAAAATAAAGACCATTAATTTAAAAGAAAAGAAAAAGCTTTGCTAAGTATCACTCTGTATATGAAGTGCTTATTCCTATCCCAAGACTTGCCACATTTCATGCACCCACCCATCTGCACCTAGATTAAGCAATATGCCATCTGTACAACTTCATCCCATCATTAGTCTTAATTCTGACCCTGCAGAGGCCACTGATGAAGAACTCAAAGAAATTCTATTTGTCTAGCAACTTTCGAATATTAAAAAGCAATAAATGACTATGGTGCAGTAGTACCAAAATATTTACTAAGGGAGCTGTTTCACAGTGCATCAGACTTTTGACACAACTAAACGAGGGCCACAAAAATTTTTACTTTCATTCTATATACTTCATGTTACACTCTACATTGTTCACTAATCTAGGTGAGACAATACATGAAATATAAAGGAGTTATTTATAAAATACCAAAACCCTCAAGTTTTTGCCCATTAATTTCACCAGATGCTCTGAAATAATTTGCATCCCTGGGCACAAATTTCATTTTTTCCTTCATAATACCCACAGTATGTAACAATTATTAGTAACTCACATAAGTATGGCAAAAGATGCAAAACAAGAACACAAAAATGGAAGGCAAAAGAAAAACAACACATTTATATGGTAGTTTATAAACAAGCGAAGGCCCAAGAAATAAATTTTAGAAACTGAATTCAATTTTTTCCATAAACCAAAGTTGGATTACTGTACCTACATATTATGTACAAATGCTTGTGAAACAGGCTTAGAATAAACCCATTTTGAATCACTCAGCACAGTTAAAAACAAAATCTTTTGTAGAGAAAAGCCTTTTAAAAACCTAAGAGATGTTTTTCACAGACTCGACCCTGATTTTGCACAAAACGGGCAGATGATTTGGCTTAATTTTATCACACACCAGACTTACCACAATAGTTAAGGGAACACAGAGGCAGGCTAACCACCAAAAAAATCACAAATACAACAATGTATTTCATTCTGAGAGCAGGTACTGTTTATTAAACTGACGAGACTCGAAAAATAATCATGGCAGACACCTGAAAGGAAAACATAAAACCATTAGAAAACACTTTAGCCAGCTAACAATTAACATAACCTAGACAGTTAAAAAGTAACGATTGAGTTTACATTTTTAAGATCACCCAATTTCCATCTTTAAAGACTCCCCCAAACAGGCTTTTCCTTTCCTCCAGAAAGGTCCTCAAAAGCTAACCAACTGTAATCATTAAGTAAACAAACCAACTGTAATCATTAAGACAGTTGATCCCGCTCCCCACAAAAGCACTGATTTAAATTCAGACCCCCCTCAATATTTAATGGGAAAAGTATTCAAAATTACCAGCACTTGCACTCTAGCGTTAACTCGACCTTTCTCAGGATGAGGTCTCTCACCTTAGTTCATTCTTCTAATAAGCCTGTTGATCTGGTCCTCCCTGTTGCCAGCATCTCCACCTTCTACAAAATGGGTGGTCTTTTTCTTCATTCCACCTCGTGGAGAAGATAACTTGAAAGGCCACAGGAAGTTATTTGCCTCTTTGAAGCGTTTTCCAACAGTATAGATCTCATGAATCAGATCCTCCATGCAGATGATGCCATATTTACC